TTTTTTTTTTTGTTGCTCAGTGCAGAAGGGGTGATGAGGCCGTAGGCCATGATGACTGACTGTTGAAAGGTAACTCTGGAGCTGGAGGTCCATATCTGCACTACAGATGATTAGGTGACACATTCGTGCTTCAATTTTCATCTTTAACACATTTTTAAAGTTGACTTTGAACATCAGTTTTACACAAACACTAATGTTATCTTATATATCTATAGGGTTTATCATATTTAAAGAATATTAATCAAAAACTAAATGTATTCATATAATATTAACATAATATGAATGCAGTAATATTTAATATATGAGATATCAATAATATGAATGTAAAAGTTATAATATAAATAAAATAAATATGGATATTTATTATAATATAAATAATATAAACATTCATCTTCAATAGTATATTATTTCACTCCTATTTATTTTCACTCTTATTTATTCATATTCATATTATTATCCAAAATATTGTTTATATGTCTTAACCAGTGTCTTAATATGTTTTCAGAAATTATTATTTTGTTTTATTTATTTACTTTTGCTGTTGTTGTATTTTAAATGTGTGCAATGAAAGCTTCATTACCAAGTAAAACTCCTTAAGCAAGCATACTATTAAACATGTTATTAAATATGTCTATATATTACATATAATATTATATATAAAAATATATAAAACATTATTAAAAGTGCAATATCATTATTTAATATTCATATTTTAAATTATAATGTAAATAATATCAATGTCAATCTTGAATATTATAATATAAATTAAGCCAATTATATTTTGTAAATTAAAATTCTTATCAATCATATATAAACATATATATTGCACAATTTTTCACCTCTTCTTCTTCAAGGAATAGTCCGATTGATTCGATTTTTGCATTCTAACAAATTGTACAAATGTATGTTTGATGCAACATTTTTTTTTTACTTTCCTTTTCTGCTTTTTGGAAATAGGGAAATCAAAGATTTTTTTTTATTTTTTTATTAACGTAAGAAGCATGAGTTATTTATAACACCAGAATGATAAAGATGATGCAGGTCCTGAACAAATAGCCTGCTTAGTGCATTTCCCACCACCAGCCAGACGCATCTAAATCCAGCAAAGGCTATGGTCTCGATCCATCATTACTTTCTCCCGTGTGGATGCCGGGCAGTTTACTGGCAGCTCTGAGAACAGATTAAGTGAATACCTAAAGGGATATCATGACCCTGCAACTTTACCTAATCTTGACGGAAAAATCAAACAAGCAAATTCTCCCTCCCTGACTGAAACAAAGCGGACCTATCAGCAAGCCATCTTAAAAATACCTCTCACTCTGGCATCCGTTGTTGGAGCACACCTGTTTGCAACTGCTGTTAAATTGCTCAATAAAATATAATACATGCTGAATCCTTTATTTTAGGATAGCATTGCTTAATATCTTCTATTATCTAAGAAGAGTTCATGCAACCTAGGCTGTTATTTAGTGTTTAGCTTCAAACTGTGGTGTCCTCACTTGACTTTTAGTGTCAGAAAAAAAGATTCACCATCCCAATGCAAGAGTTTTACTTACATGTTATTTTATTATAATGATATTTGGCAAATGTAACCATGTTTAAAATGTACAATTGCACATCAAAAGTAGCTCAACAAGTTTCTGGAATAAAAATGTGTCTCTACAAATCCTTCTCCAGATATTCTTTTAATATCTAGTGCTTCAATATTCAAGGCAAATCATATTGCTCTAATTAATACTATACATAAGCCCTTTTTTAAATAATATTGATAACAGTTTTTTTCATAAACAACAGTGTACTGTTTGAATCCAGTCCAATTTTGGACAGTATTGTTTTTATCGTGGCTTATACCAAGCAATCACAAAAATGAGCAAAGAGTCTGGAGCTTTCATAAAAGGATTTGAAACAAAATATAGAATTTCATGCAACCGCAACTCCATTCAAATTTAATAGCCTTTCAGAGACAGTCCTCTGAGAAAATGTCTCAGAAAATCATGATGATTTGCCTCTCATTTTCTTTTGTGATGTCAGCTTCTTGTTTAAGCAAGCAGGACGTCAGAGAAATGAGGGTCTTAAAAGGGCAAATTAAATCTGAAAATATTTCTCATGTTGTCACATTTGATTTTAACTGAGTAAAAGCGAACAACTGGACAAACACATGACAAAAAAAAAGACTAAACTGTTTCTAAGATATTAGTGCAAATCGGTGCACAAGTTTCCATTTCTCTCAAAAGAGAATATTGTGTAAACATGTAATATTGTGTATTTTATTATGTTGGAATAAATTAAAATGCAAGAAAAAAGGACGTTTTTATTTATAATAGAAACATCAAACTATTAAAGACAATCTGAGATATCTTCCAAGATTCCAGTGATATGTCTATAGAATACTAGTATTATACAAGGTGTGCCTGGTTCTCATTGACTGTGTGGGCTGCCCCAGAAGCCATTATCTACGCATTCCACACAGGCTCTGCACAGGTTTTAAGTTTACACGATACACCGGCTGGCGGCTGGCAACGCAACATGTATTGTTGGTCCAAGCTGAAAACTGTTTAAATGCATCTGTGTAATGTTTGCTTTAATTCTATTTTGACAATATGCAAAGTTTATAGTTCCTTTTTCCAATTTGTTTCCTTTAACTTGAGTGAAATGTAATCTTGTAGAGTAGAACATGTGCTGAAAGATAACAGGTAAGTCATACATCTTGTTGTAATGTCAAATTTCAAGCGGCTCTCTTTAATTGGTTGAAAAGCATAAGACAAAGTCTTGATTCAGTGTAACGAACAGACACTGGTCGAAGCTCAAAGACATGGGACAGGACAATGCAACTGAAGCAACAACTATCCTGGCATGCCCTCTTCTGGGTATGCAGAGTCCTGCATGAATTTAATGTGTGCATTATCAAGTCATTCTGAAATAAAATGCAAAAAGTGTTTCCCAAATTAAATATATTTGTCCTATTAGTTAAACAAGATGGGAGCGATAAGATAACTGTATTGATGCTGCAGGTCTTTAACATTGTTAAAGCACATTTTAAAGCTTAGTCAACCAGCTCAGGGTTACCAGCTTCAGACTCAAATGTAATTGAACAAATAAAAAGAAAATTAAACAAGAATTTGCTATTTAAAACATGGTTAATTGCGCATGATATGTCTATTATTTTTTTAACAACATCGACATTTTAGGTTAAATTATTAGGCTAATGAAACAGAGAAAAATTACCATTTTTATTCTGTTAGTTTCATTTTAATGGCTCTTCTGTGTTATACAGGCATTTTTAAAACTACAAATACTTCATGTAGTTAATCAGTTGTTAAGGTCATGAAACTACATAACTAGGCTGTAAAAGATGTTTAATGTTGTTTGAAGGAAGTTTAACGTGACCTCGGTGCATGTTTACTACCCATAGACCGGTTTATTAGCTTGTGTACACTGACATGAGTATGGGTAAATTGAATTGTGGCTTTGTAGATTCTCATAACTAACACAGATTTCATTCTGAGGAGCTACTGACAGTTTTGCTCAGCGTGGAAGAAAAAAACGAAGAAAAAAGCCGTCGCTTGAATGATGACGCATTTCCGGGTTTCTGTAGTTTATTGTAACACGTGGAAATCTACAGTGGACTAAAACTCAGTTATATTTCTTTATTTACAGTATTTGGACTGTTCCGGAGTAATCGGTCACAATGGTCAAGCCAAAATTCAAGGGAAAAAGCTCCATAAATCCCTCAAACTCCAGCAGTAATCCCGGTAAGATTAAATAAACCGCTGGTCTGGCTGTGATCTGCTAGCCAGCTAAAGCATTAGCCAGCTCTTGTTGAGGAATATATGAGACGTTCTGTAGTTGTTTTCACCGTTGCCTGTTGTTAGAGCAGCTTTCTTCAATGTTCACCGGGTTATTAGTTGATTTCGTGTAAACATGACTTCTGTCAAGCCTTCAGGTGTTCCATTGAGGCTGCTCACACTGGTATTTTTAAGATTAATCATGTCTGGGTAACGTTACCAAATTGCCGTGTTGTACATGACATTTGTACGTGTTCAAGAATAAATGAATTACAAACTTGTTCTATAGATTGCCACCACAATGTTTTTTCAGAAATGTTTAGAATCGGTGTCAGAAATTATCTTTATTTTTAAGGGGTAATGTTTGCTCTCTACTTTCAGGGAGAATTTTTCACCATTGTGAGAACATAAAAGCATGCCCTATGTTGTTCGTTTATGCCAAATGCTTACATTGAATTAGCATTAATTAGAAATTATGGCTGTCACTTACAATAGCTGTCATATTTGAAATATTCCGGGGATTTGTTCGTTCTTTTAGTGCCATTTTGGCACTATCCAGACCCTGATTCATTTCATACACTGCTCATAATAATTAGCTTATTACATAAAAAGCTGTATTTCTCGGTAAAATGTTTTGCATATCACAACGTGATCCAAAGTTGACATATTTTGAATGTAATGAAGGGTTATTTAAGGACAAATGCTACAAATTCTACACTATTATTCACGTTTGGGCTCAAAATGATTTTTATCTTATTCAACAAGGACATTATATTGATCAAAAGTGACAGACATTAACAGTGTTACAAAAATTGTATTATAAATAAATGATGTGCTTTTGAACTTTGTTAATTATAGAATCCTGAAAAAGTATCATTAAGCAGCACAAGTGTTTTAAACATAGATAATAAAAAAAAGTTTCTTGAGCACCAATTTAGCATATTAAAGTGATTTCTAATTCAGTTTTGCCATCACATTTTAAAATATATTTAAATAGAAAAGTTGTTTTAAATTATAATCGCAATATTGTTTCATATTATTACTGTTTTACTGTATTATGACTATTTACATGCAGTCTTGGTAAACAAAAGATCTTTTAAAAAGTTTTTTTTTTACCCCAATTATAATTGGTGGACTTTGCAAAGTGACACAAGGGACTCTTCTGTTAATCGTGGCCCTTGTGCTTTGATTTAACGATCTATCACATTTATGAAGTGTATATAAAATAACTGTAAATTGCACTATGTCCCTGTGTATAACAATGTGCATCTCTTTTAACATTCTCTATCCCACAGACCGGGTCAAGGGAGCTGGAGGGAACAACATGAGGGACCGTGCCACCATCAAACGCTTGAATATGTACAGGCAGAAGCAGAGATGGTAAGTCATTTACAAAATGATAACAATTCAGAATACAATCAGAATGAGCTTTATTTACCAAATGAACACAAACACACAAGGAACTTTATGGTTTCTAGTAGAGCACGACCGATATGGGTTTTTTGGGGGCAGATACCGATATTAGGGAGTAAAAAAAGGCTGATATCGATATATCGGCCGATATTCTTTGTATATACTTTCCCATTCGTGTTCAAACTTTTGACTGGTACTATATATAGAATACAGCATATACATAAACAGAATATAACACATTTTTTGCAATGATCACTCAAATGTGGTGATCAAACACTTATAATGACGTGACAAAGATATGTAATGGAGGCAGGGCATTTAAAGGGGTCATATGATGCTGCTAAAAAGAACATTATTTTGTGTATTTGGTGTAATGAAATGTGTTTATGCGTTTTTTGTTAAAACGTTTTTTCCACATACTGTACATTATTGTTTCTCCTCTATGCCCCGCCTTTCTGAAACGCATCGATTTTTACAAAGCTCATCCGGTCTGAAAAGCGAGGTGTGCTCTGATTGGCCAGCTAGCCAGAGTGTTGTGATTGGCTGAATACCTCAAGCGTGTGGCGGAAATGTTACGCCCTTACCATACTGTGATGCCCTGTCCGGCCGGAGCTACGAGACATAAACATTAAAACCCATTATAAACGAGGCATTTGTTGCATCCAGTGGGGACATAATTACGGATTATAATGACTTATACTGTCTTTTTACGCGTTGCGTTGCATCGCGCCACGTAAACATAAAACCATGTCTGCATTTGTGATCGGAGAAATGACAAACAAGTGCTCAAAACTCGCGTTTGAATCGTCAGTGGCAAATTCTTTAAATATAAATATGAGTTCAGCGTTGCGCATGCGCCGGTGAGTCTCATGAAAACCAACGTTTGTTAACAGGAGCAAAGGAATCAAAGTTTCCTTACTTTAGCAAAGGAAACCCAGTCTCCTCTTGGCTTATATTGAAATTTACAAATCCTCGTTTTGTACTTGTAATAAGTGACCGTTGTTTTGTTTTGATCTCTCCCCTGCGCTTCCGCGTTCGTCATTTCTGAGACGGCGCAACGCCTACGTCATACGTCATCCGCCCAGAGCTGCTTCTGTGTACAACTGTTATTACTGATTATTACGTTTTGAATATGGATATTTTTCTTACAAAAACGCATCGATTCGCTACAGGAGTATACAATTTAAATTTACGTCTCGTGCACTTTAATGCCCTTTGAATGTAACTCGATGTTCCCTTGGAACTGAATTCATGGCGGAATATCATGTGAAGTCCACTTCGCAGGGCACTTACAGTCGAATAAGACACTTGAATGCGATGGGCGCTTTTTATTTAACTTATTTTGGACTAATGCATGCAACACCCGCTAAATGGCATTAAACAGCTTGAAAGATTAAAGACAATTTTTAATATAACTCCGACTGGATTCGTCTGAAAGAAGAAAGTTATATACACCTAGGATGACTTGAGGGTGAGTAATTTATGGGCTAATTTTCATTTTTGGGTGAACTAACCCTTTAAGCTTTAAAGTGTTTCATCCAGGTCACCAGTAGCAAACAATGGAGCTGGACAAACTACGTAATTACACCATTTACAAGCATTTTATCTGCGTATTATGTTCTGTCAAAAAATGTTCATATCGGCGCCATATTCGCAGAAACGATATATCTGCGACAGGATCATATCGGTCGATAAAATTGGCAAAACGATATATCGGTCGGGCTCTAGTTTCTAGTAGCTCTGGGTGCTTACATACATTTGTATGTAACAAGACAATAGAAAGAAAAAATAAACCGAATTGATTAAAAATATTTACGTAATATACATCTAGATGGAGTAATATGCATTAAACACTAATCATAGAGAGAGCTTATTTATTTATTCTAAACAAAAACAAATCCCAACCCTTACAAAAATGAAACATTTTAAATTATAATGAAACAGAGATATTTTTTATTTATATGGCCACAGTAACAGTCGAGGTAAGGTGATCAAGCCCTTGCAGTACCAGAGCACAGTTGCTCCAGGAACTGTGGCCAGAGTTGAGCCCAACATCAAGTGGTTTGGTAAGAGCAATTCCTTTTTTGTTTGTTTTAATTAGTCTTATTGTGTATGCTTGATTATTGAAGGGAAACAGCCATCTTTTCCAAGTAATATTATAGGCCACTTATTCTGTGGTCATACCATTCAGAATTCATATTGGATGTAAATATGTCTGATTATGTTAATATTTCTTTGGTTTTCCCATATGCTTCCTGTGCAGCCAATACACGTGTTATCAAGCAGTCATCCTTACAGAAATTCCAGGAAGAGATGAACGCGGTAAAGAAAGATCCGTACCGAGTAGTGATGAGACAGAGCAAGCTACCAATGTCCTTGCTGCATGACCGAATAAAAGCACATGTGAGTATGCACTCAAGTTACACATACATGCTGTTTTTATACAAAAATCCTGTGGCGTGATGTGAGAAGACAGGTAGGCTCATTGTTTGCATGCAGTTTTTCAGAGCAGACAATCAGGTAATGCATTGTGATGAGCTCAGTAAAAAGTAGTATCGTGAATCCTACATTTATTTATAATTTACTTACAACCAGAAAGTATCAATAAAAAATTGATTAAATCAATTTAATGCAATTTTATGTCTATTCGAGTATTATAATACAACGTTAGCAACATGGTAACATCTAACTCTGGGCTTTACATGAGTATATAACATTTCTATACTATTAGTGTTGATTAATATTTTTTATTTGCCTTTATTTTAAAATTTTCTGTTTTCCTTTTAAATTTGGTTTGGTGGTTTTGTAATTTTTATACTCTTTTTATACATATTTCTTTTTAGCTTTAATATGTTTAATTTTAGTTGTAGTAATTTTTATTTTAAGCAACAAGTTATCTAATATTTATATTTTACTTCACCTTATTTCATTTCAGTGACTTAAAATGATTAATAATACTTTTAGTTAACGGGACGTTAGATGTGCTGTTTTTATGGTACACAAAAACAACAACAAAAATCTGACTGCGTAGATCATTCCAAATTTAGAAGAGTCATAGTATGATACTGTGTGTTGTCATTTGATTCTAAAAAGTATAGCCTAATTAAAGCAAAAATATTTCTGACATTAGACTCCAACGGGAAAATTGCCCCTTCACGAAGTATTTTTCTGACTTGATTTATCAGCTGCTCATTTCTGGCAAATTCCTGTGAACAACAACTTTGCTCATTTGTATTTAAATGAGAAAACTGTTTTTCACAACACCTCTTGGCTAAACGTCTTGTAACTTGAGAATCTCACGTAACACATGCGGTACTACGACAAAAACACAGCAAGAACAATTGTTGTGCCATGATAACAGCACAGTGATTTTGTTAGTCTGACGGTGTAGCGAGGACATTGCCTGACCTGCGATAGAACTTGCTCTTTGGCATCTAAGGGCCTGCTGTCTGCCAGTAGTAAAGAACAGAGCAAAAAAATATGTGCTCAGAATAAAATGTAAGCTTTTGCTCTGTTCTTCATGTTTCTTCTACAAATGTTGTTGATTTGCTTCAACATCTAAACTGTTCCATGTGTGAGCAAAACCTTTGCATAATGAACGTCCCAATTTACTTTTGTTCTATGTCTCAGGACTGTGACACACTCGCTATGTTTTTTTTTTTGTTTTTGTTTTTTGGTTGCAGGGAACTGGCAAAACTGTGTCAGTTATTGATTTTCATCCTCCCTTTTTGATTTGTGTTGTTTGAGCCGCTCCTCCAGCATGTGCCATAATGTCCATTGTTTGCGCACATTTTTTTCTCTTTCTCAGAAGTATTTTGAACATGTTGTGATGTGGTGGTTAGCCTCAAATCAGGTTGTTTTTTATCATCCACGTCAATTGTTCCGAAGAAATGCAATATTACCAGAAGTACGATTTCTTACGAGAAATGTTACTGGCTTTGACAAGATCTGTAAATTGCTTGTTTTATTCCATCCTCTGTTGCAACAGTGGTATGGCTTCACTTTTGTTTTGTTTTTAGGTCATTACAGATTGCAATTTGGCCTGGTCCAGTTATAGACTTTAACTGTAAGAAGTTTCGTTCATTGTTATTTGGCTTTTGTATGATTTTATCTTAAGGCATATTTTTCTGTATATTAACGATATTAAAATTAGCTGTAAAAGCATATGTTCTATATACACGAGTGTTCAAAAGTTTTTATGTATTTTTTAAAGTGTCTTATGCTCTTAAGGCTATTTATTTAATTATTTAATCCAAAATTCAGTAAAAAACTGTAATATTATGAAATACTAGTACAATTTCAAGTAACTTTTTCTATTTTTTCTATTTCTAAAATTGTAATTTATTCCTGTGATGACAAAAATTTGAATTGTCAGCAGCCATTACTCCTGTCTTTAGAGTCACATGATCCTTTTTTGGGGGGATTCTTTGATGAATAGAATGTTAAATTTTGAATAATCACATTTATTTTGAATAATCACTTTTGATCATTTTAATGCATCCTTAATGAATGTAAGTATTAATTTCTTTAAAAAACCATACTGACCACAAGCTTTGGAACAGTACTGTGTACAACATTCTATATATGCACAAGAATGCGTGAAAGCTGGTGTTTACAAACCTAATGTAAACCACATCTGCATTTAGTTTGAGAACTGCAGATTACCATCTGATTTTTTTGGAATGTGTCTAAACGGTCAGATCGGATTTAAAGTTTTCCATTTTCAACAGTGTGCTGTGCTTTCTGGAGCTGTGGCCAAATACACAGATTTACCCTCATTTAGTGAATTATGTCACTTAGCATCGTGTTTAGGCTTAAATCTTTACTATAGTAGATCAAGTGCAGGCTACACTGTCTAAACAAACTGATTTCACCACTTGACAGAAAGTCAGTCCTCAAGGAAACAAAATAGGTTCATGGCATGCGCAATGTGAATAAAGCCATATTAATGTATGCTTTATAGAAGAAATCATGCTGTTTTGTGTAGCACAAAATTGTATGATCACTCTTGTAAGCCATATAGAATGTGCAGATGAGTACACTCCCATAAGGAATGGTAGCACAGAGAACTGTCAAAATGCTTGCAAGAGCTGAAATATCAGATGCTTCATCAAAAGAAATTCCAAAAGTTATGAATGTTATGATGAAGAGGATAAAACAGTTCTCATGAGATCTGTTTGTCAGTTGATCTTCTGCTGGTTCTTCTAGAACTCCAAGGTGCACATTCTGGACACAGAGACGTTTGAAACCACGTTTGGGCCAAAGGCACAAAGAAAGAGGCCCACCTTGTCTGTGGGAGAGCTGAAGGACTTTGCTGAACAGGCAGAGGTCTCTGCTCAGAGCTACATTGCTGAGAAAGACCGTGATCTGGTGTCTGAGGACAGTGGAGTCAAGTGAGCGAGTGCCTTCTAGAGATTATGAAAATATGTAGTTCTGTACTTACTACAGAAACAAGCTATAGCCCTGTTTTTCTAGCAAAATGGCTTATATATCATGACACGACATAAAGCCATTTCATTTTCCTGTCACTGCAGGGACGAGGCTCGGGAGGAAATCTTCAAAAAGGGGCAGTCAAAGAGGATCTGGGGCGAGCTTTATAAGGTAGTTATTACCATATCCCAATGCCTTACTCATTGAAAGTTCTAAGAAAAACCGTAGTTGACGCCACATCCTAAAATGAACCATGCTTTGTGCAGGTGATCGACTCTTCAGACGTCATTATCCAGGTGCTAGATGCTCGGGACCCTATGGGCACTCGATCCCAGAGCATTGAGTCTTACCTGAAGAAGGAGAAATCTTGGAAACACCTCATCTTTGTGCTCAATAAGTGTGATCTCATTCCCACATGGGTTACGGTAAGAAATGAAAGTGGAATACTAGTACCAGTTCCAAAATCTGTTGAGCTCCCAACCCTCTACATTGCAAGTAAATCACTCGCATATGCGACTAAATCTTCACTCTGGCGACTAAATGATGTCTAATACTCCCAATGTAGGCAGTATTATAAGCTGACATAGTTTCAGAATCTTTGTAAGATACCTTCATATGTCAAAACTCAGTGTCTTATTTCAGAAAAGTAAGCATTACAAAACTGAATGTTACCTTTGTGATATAACTATACTGTTATTATTGGGACATTAGCTTAGCAACATGCTAACACCAGCCTCTGTTAATCCATTTATGTTGGGTTAAGAGAAACGTCAGACATCTTGATGATAAATCTGCTTATTCATTCAGTGGCAAAAAATATTGATAACGTAGTTCAGCCTAATTTAAAAAAATATTATTTACCTAATATATATGGGTGCTGTGTATTTGTATGCATATTAGAGTATCATGTTGTTATCTTAGCTAAATGCTAAAACCAGTCTGTTGAAATCCTGTTGCAGTTGGTGGAAAATGTCAGAAATCTGAATTATAAATATACTTATTCATTCAGTAGTAAAAAGTATTGATAAAATATTTGATATTGGTAGTTTAATCGAATTAAAAAACAATTTTCCCAAAAGTTTTGCTGTGCTGTGTAATTGTATTCATGTTTCATTACCTTAGAATCACCATAACACCATCCATTGAGGTTGGTGGAAAAAATGTCAAAGTCGTAATGATAAATATACTTGTAATTACAACTTGTTAACCAACTTTACTGAGAGCTACGACTTGTACCATGTGACCACTGCAGAATCATTGAGGTGCCATGTTTAGGTGTTGATAATGTTGGCATTGAAATGCATAATTCCGAGTACGAGGAAATTAATTACTCCAAGTTTAATGTTGTGTGTTGTCATCTCGAAATTACAGGAATTATGACATGGCGTGAATTGTTCAAATTTAATTAGAAAAAACTAGAATATCGTGTTGTTAGCTTAGCAAGTTTCTATAGAGTGATCTGAAATGGCCACTTTTGTTCTTCTACAACAGTTAAGATGTATGGGGCCACCTATGTAGGCGGTAGACAGCAAGGCATCTCACTAGGTTTCTGGAACAAGGCCACTGTCTGCAATGTGTCCTGTTCTACCGTCTCTGGAGTTTGTTTCACTGACAGACAGGCATGTTTATCTTGGCTTGTAATAGTTAACCAGTTAAAGGCTCCTTCCCTGACAGATATTTTTTTCTGTCTTTCACATCTATGATTCTTGTTTGTAATTCTTGTTATTGGTGATTCTGAAATGCAACAACAAGGAATGAGGGAGTTACACCAGCTGTTTATAAGCTGCAGGCCTTTTCATTCAAGCCAAAAAAGCATTTGCCTACCCCCTTCAGATTTATGACTGAGGTCTTTTGTAAACCTAACAGGCAAATGATTGGGAAACCCATTAGTTTTGTTGTTGAAAGGGAATCACTTATCATTCTGTGGTGATTCTTGTTGGGCAGCTTGTGCCCTTTTTTATCTGTTCTCTCTTATCAAAAACAATTTCATAGATCACTTCTAGTGTTAGACCTAGTTAGAAATGTATAAACCGCACGTACAACCGGATTTGATTCTAAATTCCATGGATTTCATCCTACGTCAAAAGGATCAAATTGGGGTTTCTAAAGGCAGAAACTGAAATAAAAAGTTATATTACAAATTTTTTATTCTATATGATGATTATTATTATGATTATTATTATTATTATATGATTTTACATTATATGATGAGTAGGAAAAATAAATAGACACATAATGCCCACCCTCTTGTTCCAAACCTGTATGAATTTTGCTCTTCTGTTGAACACAAGTTATTTTTAAGAATGTTGGTAAACAAACAGTTGATGGTCCCAATTAATTTCCATAGTGTTTTACCCCAATACTATGGAAGTCAATGGCAATGACTGGCACTATACCACACTGCAAAGGTGGCACTATACCACACTTGAAGTCACTGAGCTCTTCCAAATGGCCCATTTTTTCCACTAATGTTTAGAAATGTAGACTGCATGGCTAGGTGCTTAGTTTTATCATTTTAATAGTAATAGAAATGCCTGAATTCCATAATTAATAGATGTGTTCCAAAACATTTTTGTCCATAGTGGTAGGTATTATATAGTAGCCTATTTGTATGTTTATATGTTCACGTTGCTCTTGAATTTACGTTGAAATGTGATTTATTAAGAGAGATGTTCACTCATAGGAACTTTATGAATACTGTTGTTGATTAACATTTAGGATGATGCTACACTTCTTTTTCTATATGTGAACTGTTTTTTATTCTTGTGTCTATGTTGTAGAAACGCTGGGTTGCAGTTCTTTCTCAGGAATACCCCACTTTGGCCTTTCACGCCAGCCTTACCAATTCCTTCGGCAAGGGCTCCCTTATCCAGCTCCTGCGGCAGTTTGGCAAGGTGAGGCTTTAAACATTTACAGCGTATGTTTAATGCTTATACGCATTATCGTGCCTTGGAAACCATGGGGCAACAGGTTTTAAACACACAACAGTTTCAGTCCACATCGTTTATCTACTCAAGCTGCAGTTTTAGGACAAGGTCAGTCTGTTTTTTGGTCCGTAATGGCAACAGATGTTGAGAGCAGTGGTTTGATTGGGTACCAGATGCACCCCACCCTCCCATGCTATTGGGCTCCTGTCCTGTCTTCACATCTGCCTCGTAGCTATTTTTGGGAGCACAGCCGTAAACAAAAAATTGGAAATACTAAAAAGGAGAGAGGGCTTACATAACATAAATTTTGTTGAGAGTTATATGACAGGACACTCTTTTAGGAGTTAGAAAACAGCGGTGCAAAAATATCACGGTTGCCGTGCGTGCAATATAAATCTGCAGGTGTAATGACATTTAAGAGGCCTTTGTAGGTTGTGTATCAAGTCTTTATTTCTTGGGCCCCCTTTTTAAAAGTGTATAATGAAATGTGAGAGGGAATGTGGCCAAATTATTGGGAGAAGGGTTGATCCAAGATCGTCTCGTTTTCCTGACCTCAATACTATGAAACGAACATTATATCAGAGGACTTGACAGTATGTGTGTATTTCTTCTATTTAATTGCTGCTTTGCAAAATGACGTTTGCTTAGTATTAACATGTCCATATTGATTTTTGCTCAGCTCCACTCAGATAAAAAGCAGATCAGTGTTGGCTTCATTGGTTACCCCAATGTTGGAAAGAGCTCTGTTATCAATACCCTGCGCTCCAAAAAAGTCTGTAACGTGGCACCCCTTGCTGGTGAGACAAAGGTAAGACCTCAGAAGCTTTTTCTTTCCATCTCAGGGATGTGATTTTAACAAATGGATTTCTGTATTTTCCTACCTGAAAATAAGGATCCATGTGAATTCTGAGAAAAATACATTGATGCTTTTTGTAATTGTAATTATACTTGTTCTATAAAATAATATCAAATTATCATTATTTTACAGTACAATAATATTCTTGCAATAGTAATATATTTCTTTATTGATTTGTTTAATGTTCATATTTAAATAATAACATAAAATAATATTTTTCAATAATAATAATAAAGTAATTTGATTTAATAATTATAATTATTTGTTGTATAGGCATACTGAATGAGGAGAAAAGGCAGTTTTTTTTTTTTTACTTCTGTAATTTGCCAATCACATGCCTTTATCTCTGTTTGGTGCTAATTTTTAATTTTTTCTTAAAGGCTAGTTTACCCAAAAATGAAAAGTCTATGATTAGTTTGCATACTCTAATGCCATTCCAAACCTGAGTGACTTTTTTTCCCCTATGGACACAAAAGGAGAAGTTTAACACAATGTTCATGCTGCTATTTTCCATACAGTGTATATGAATGTTGTCAGAAGATGTGAACCCGGGGCTAAAAAAAATTAATAATAACCCATTACACTGTATTTCAAGTCTTTTTCTTTTCAAAAATTATAATTTTTGATGAGCTTTCCAATAACATACTTGTGTTTGTCCGTGTACTGATCATGAACATCAGATGATTGAGTGATTCCTCTTGTACGTGACATCAAATGATTCAGATTTTTTTTTTTGGTGAGTGTAAGGTTACCTGCCAGATCCTGACATGTGGTAACATTTGGAACGGCTTAAGTTTCCAGCATTTTGGTTTTTGGCTGCAACTTTTGTGTATTCATGTTTTTGTGTGAAATTACTTTTTTATGTTGTCAAATTTTTCCTCTTATTTTACAAACATGGAACTGAGAAATGGTTTTCAGAGGGAGCGAGTGAAAGTGCAAGGCAAAGGAAAAACATTACTGACGGCGGCCAGATTGAAATCAAATTCTAAACAAATCTGGACTTCCACGCTCTTCTGTTTATGTTTTAAATGATAAATTGTTTCATTTAAAATTTCCCCCGTGTGCCCTGATTTGAGTGATTCTTCAATTAGTAGACATTTCTGTCTTCTATTTTCCTTTCTTTTTACAACAGTCTTTCTAGATCGATTATGAGATAGATAGGTTTGATTTGATTTGATTTTAATAGCTTAAAAAATTGTTGTGCTTCGTTAACTAGCTTTTCCTATGTTGAAATGTTGGGTTTTCCTGAATCACTGTTTAGGCCTTTGGCCAGTGAGCAACATTCATAAACAATCTATTTAGTTTTAGTTTTATAAACTTAAAAGTTAATTGACTGCTTGCTAACTTGTCGAAAGTTCTTATAAATTGCGTGTATTTAAATGCAGTTCGTTATATTGAAATGTTTTCGGTCTTGTGGTTTCTTAAATGGAGGTCATGGATGAATCTATGAACTTTCTGTCAGATGGCTCAAGCTCAACCTTAATGCTATAACCAACTGTTTTCTTTCTCTCTTTTTTTTCTGACAGGTCTGGCAGTATATCACACTAATGAGACGCATTTTCCTCATAGACTGTCCTGGCGTCGTCTATCCCTCCGACGACAGCGAGACTGACATTGTGCTGAAGGGAGTGGTACGATGACCTTGACTCTCAAAGTCAGCCGTTCACATTGGCAATCCCAGCAGCTTCATCCACTCACTTTGTATCTGTTGCATTTAGGTTCAAGTGGAGAAGATCCGAAATCCAGAGGATCACATCGGAGCGGTGCTGGAGAGGGCCAAAGCAGAGTACATCCAGAAGACATACCGCATTCTGTCCTGGAGCTCTGCCGAGGATTTCCTGGAAAAGCTCGCCTTTCGCACCGGAAAACTGCTCAAGGTCTGGCCTGATTGTGGAGAATCTGATAAAACGAACTGTCAGCTTGGTCCTCGCGGCACATTTGTTTATTCTTTCCTCTCAAGTGTCCCGATTGAGATGTGACAGTTTGCTTACTTTAAGCCAGTGGAAAACATTTAATTTTAACTTCGGATAGCCAGTTTACAATACCTGAATGCCAAAACCACTATGATTTAGTGCAAAATTAGATTTTTAAAAAGGGGTAGGTTGTATTTTTTAGTTCACATCTTTATCTCTGTCCAAATACTGTACATGTTGGTGCTGTAATGATTGGTATTTTGTGTTGTTCCACTTATACAGGGTGGAGAGCCAGATCTGTCCACTGTGTCTAAAATGGTTTTGAATGATTGGCAGAGGGGACGCATCCCCTTTTTTGCGAAGCCCCCAGGAGGCGAGATGGATGAAGAGGTAAATGGACATATGTGACCCTGGACCACAAAACCAGTCATAGGAGTCGATTTTTCGTAATTGAGATTTATACATCATCTGAAAGCTGAATAAATAAGCTTTCCATTAATGTATGGTTTGTTAGGATAGGACAATATTTGGCCGAGATACAACTATTTGAAAATATGAAATCTGAGGGTGCCAAAAAATCTAAATATTTAGAAAATCACATTTAAAGTTGTCCAAATGAGGCTCTTAGCAATGCATATTACTAATCAAAAATTAAGTTTTAATATATTTACGGTAGGAAATTTACAAAATATCTTCATGGAACATGATCTTTACTTAATATCCTAATGATTTTTGGCATAAAAGAAAAATCAATAATTTTGACCCAAACAATGTATTTTCGGCTGTTGCTACAAATATACCCCAGCGACTTAAGACTGGTTTTGTGATCCAGGGTCACATTTGTTCTTAATATCCTACAAAGTTTAGTGTCTTTTAGCCAAAAAATTTGCTTAGTCTTTGGAAATTTCACTTTAATATTCAAAAATGTCTTCCAAGATCATCACTGTTGCATGTTTTGCTAAAATTAGAGCTTTATGTTGTTTTAAAAGACCTTGTAAGACATTGTTTATATGTAACTTCCATAATGCATCTTGAATTACTTGGTACAAATCCTCTTTTAAGTCACTGTGGCCAACAAAATTACTTGAATTTTGACTGTCTTTATACTGGCAGACACTAATGCACTTATAAACATTTATACTCTTAAACTGACACTTGATCTTTCCACTCAGAACAAAGCACAACCGATGCTGGAAATGCCTGAGATGGAAACCAAGCAGGAAGAGCTGGGAAACAGACTCGAAGCTCAGGATGTGGACGGGGCCTCATCTAACCAGCAGGAAGATCAAACGCTTCTGAGACAGAATGAGGAGATGCAGAAAATCTTCAGCAATGTCAAGCAGAACTTTGGCAAAATAAACGTCGCTCCAGAGTTCAGCGAGGAGGACCTTGTGCCTGTTGAGATACCTGACATACTGGATCCCTCCTGGTCAGAAGATGAAGATGAGCAAGACGAGGAAAATGAGGAGGACGAGGAAAAAGTGGAAGAGCAGATTGGTGAACAACAGGAAGAAGAATCCTCTGTTTCCGACTCCCCAACCAAAGCAGAAAAGAAGAGCACATGTGAAGTGAATAAAGAGATGGATGAGAAGATTGCCAAATTAAAGCATTTTCTTGATCGTGCCAAGTCAAAGCACTTCTCCGCCATACGGTTTGTTTTAAGTTCATATTGATCATATTTTATAGGTACCTTTCAGGACACTTTACAGCATAAACAGCAAGATCAAAAAATAGACAAAGCAATACAAAACATAAACTACAAACATAGAATTACTTCAAAATATGAGTAAAGTTATGATATAGGGTTAAGGTCAAGATAAGGTTGTGAGAGGGTTCTGTAAAGGTTAACGCTTATCCTATTTCAGTAGGCTGATTAATTTTTTTTCACTGTTTGGCTCTTATCTGTTGATATTATTATGTTGTCTTTATGTTTTTATAGAATTCCTAAAGGCCTGTCTGAAAAGGTGTTCAATGAAACCACAGCAAAGCAGAATGATGCAAAGAATCTGCAACGGAAAGGTACAACTAACTCAAGTTAATGCCATATGTTTGTGTATCAAAAGGCTGCTGCAACTGTGTATTTAATGTACAACAAAACACATATTATTATTATTATTATTATTAGTGCTGTCAAACGATTAATCGTGATTAATCGCATACAAAATAAAAGTTTTTGTTTGCATAAAATGTGTTTTGTGTATATTTATTATGTATATATAAATACACACACATACAGTATATATTTAGAAAATATTTACGTCTATATTTATATTCATATAATTTATTTTATAAATAAATATATTTAATATATAAACATTTTTCTGATATACATGCATGTGTGTGTATTTATATATATATATATATATATATATATAATAAATATATACAGTACACACGCATATATTATATAAACAAAAACTTTTATTTTGGATGCGATTAATCGCGATTAATCGTTTGACAGCACTAATAA